GCACATATGTTGTACTGCATTTTAAATTAAAAGAAATTATGTGTGTTTTGACCATGCCAGTGACGTTCTTTGATATTTATCAGCTTGTAAAAGTTTGTGATTAACATGACTACATCGGCACGTTGCATATGTGACGTCACCACAGAAGCTCCTCCTCTCCCCTAGCGTAGCTGCTACTTACCACATGGCCAGATTTATGATGGTTCTTTTCTCCTGAAGGAAGGATTTGAAGTTTGCTGAACTTACAGCCATTTTCCCTCTGTTTTTCTCTGTGTCTGGTTCGATGACATCACTTTCGTGAAGCGCATTTGTAGTTCTGGACTTATTTTCACACAAAACCTAAAATAACGTTTCCCCTGTTTGAAAATAAGCACCTTCTTGGTAGCAAAATGCATCTTTTAAATTCACGGACATCATATGTGAAATCCATGGCACAAAAGAAGCGGAATTAGAAAATAGCGATTGTAGCCCCGTTCACTTGCATTCGTTTATTCGTTCTTCGGGGGACCCATGGTCCGGAAGTGGATGGGCGTGACTTGGGCTCCCTATGTGCATTGGAGAGGCTATGTGGATTCAGGGAAAGAAAGATGGCGCTAGCGTGTTCAGCAGGCCGTCTATCCGTCCATGGACTCTTTCTACTTTTTATTCTTCTGTTTTGTGCTCTCCCTGGGATCTTCACTCACGACCTATGACTGACTTACCTTGTGGATCTTGGCTATTCCGGGCGTTTTCCCTTGTGTGGCAGCATTAATCTCCGGGAAACACTCCAACATCAGTTTCCCTCTGTTCCTGTCACCCTATAGAGGATCCCTCCTCAAGGGCGGCTCTCAAAATGCCGCAGCCAGCGGGGCTGTCGTAGTGGCCGTCGGGTTTGCCTTCGTTCAGTTCTGGATTGCTCTGTCAGAGCGCAGCAACTCCGTCTGATATCTGGGCCTCGATGTCGCTCCATTGAATGTGCTTCCCTTCTCCCGGAGCTGCTGTCCCGGACCTGTGACAGGTGCCAGCGAGGAGTGACTGCGACAACTGCCACACCTCTGTAGGTCCTGTCATTTGGCCGTTGGTGCCGTTGTGGTGTGCTTTGATCAACGCACGCTCGATCCAGAACAAAACGTTCATCTTGAAGGGTTTCTTCATCGATCGGGAGTTGGATGTCCTTTATATCACTGAGTCGTGGACAGTGCCGGGTGAGTTGGCACCTATCGCTGAACTGTTACATGCTGGGTGTGCCTACTTGAATGTCCCCAGGCAAACGGGCCTCAACGAGGGTTTATTGACTATTTTCAAGACTAATATCCCCTGTCGGCCTACCTCCTACCTGGGAAATTGTGACTTATTCGAACTGTCCACCTTTGAACTGGGATTGTCTCCTCCAACTCTTTGTTTTTTATTATATAGGCCCCCTAAGGCTAATTCTTCTTCTTTCTTCTCCCAATTTTCAGACTTTCTTGCTGATGTCCTCCTTTAGTATGATCATTTGCTTATACTTGGAGATTTTAATATTCATGTCTGTTGTCCTGAGAAGTTCCTGGTAGCTGATTTTTGTAATTTAATTGACTCTTGTGGACTGACTCAGTTGGTTGACTTCCCCACTCATGAGGGGTCTCACATATTGGATTTAGTTTTTTCGTTTGGTGATAATGTAACAGAGGTCCGACCTGCTGTTTTTTCTCTGTCTGATCATGTTCCTGTTTTGTTTTCTGTGGATGTGGCCCGGCCTGTCTCTCCTAGGCAGGTGGGGATTTGCCGTGCCCGCCGCATTACCCCTTCCTCAATTGTTGAGTTTTCTGCTTTATTTTCAGATTTTTCCTGAAGGAAGTCTTCCCAGTAATTGCTCAACTGATCCTGAAGATCCTTAATGCAAGCCTTAGGACGGGGACTGTTCCTCAGGAGTTTAAGCATGCGGTGGTCCAGTCTGTTCTAAAAGAGCAAGGCTTGGACTCTAACGACTTGAACAATTACCGTCCTATATCTAAGCTCTCTTTCCTCTCCAAATTGTTGGAGAAGATGGTTTATTTCCAGATTTTTAATTTCCTTAAATCCAACAATGTTTTAGATATTTTTATGTCTGGTTTTCGTCCTCACCACAACACTGAGACTGCTCTTATTTGTGTTTTTAACAATATTTTGCTTTCCTCTGAATCTGGTTCTCATGTGTTGTTGGTGCTTTTAGACTGATCTGCCGCCTTTGACACTGTCGATCACACAATCCTTTTACAGCGACTGGAGCAGTTAATTGGCATTCGTGGAACAGCTTTAGAGTGGTTCCGCTCCTATTTCAATGGCAGATGTTTTAATGTTGCCCTGGGGAGTTGCACCTCTAGAGTGGCACCTCTTTTTTGTGGGGTTCCCCAGGGGTCCATTTTAGGTCCGCTTCTTTTTCATCTATATATTTTACTTTTGGCAGCCATTTTTAGAAAACTCCGGGTAAATTTTCATCTCTACGCTGACGATTGTCAGCTTTATGTGGCCCTAAAATCTATTGACCCTGTGCAACCACTGACTGACTGCCTGAGTGAAGTCAGGTCTTGGCTCTTGGCTAATTTTCTCCGTCTTAACAGCTCCAAACTGGAGGCTATTTTCTTTGCCCCCTGCTCCCCCTCTGCTGTGGAGCCATCTCTGCCCCCTTCATTGTCAGTTTTGGTGAAGTCGACAATTACAAATTTGGGGGTCACTCTGGACGCTTTTTTAAAATGGATGCACAGATAAATCAGGTAGTCAGGTCGTGTTTCTTTCTTCTTCGCCGGCTGGCCAAACTAAAATCTGTCCTGAACAAAAACGATCTTCAGTCAGTTGTTCATGCTTATGTAACGTCACGCCTGGACTATGCCAAAACTCTTTTATATGGTATTCCAATTGGTACGATCATTTGCTTATACTTGGAGATTTTAATATTCATGGTACAGAATGCTGCCGCAAGGTTTCTTATGGGCATAGACCGACGGCAGCATATAACTCCTGTTTTTGTCACGAACAGAACTCAGAAGGACCCGTAATGACACCAAACACTGTAAAGCACCTTTAAAAGTCTTTATTTGATGTGGAGTTACCAGAGGTGGGCGAGGCTGAGGCAGGGTCAGGATGAAGCATGGGTCAAAACCAGAGAGATCCGTGAATGCTACAAGGGGCAGGCAGGAGGCAGAATACAGAGAATGGTCCGAAGGTCGAGAATCCAGGTGGTCGGAAGCAGAGAACAATCCAGGCAGGGAGCAGGAACGTGGGCAGGTAGAGATACAGGAACAAGGTCAGGATCTATGATTCAGGCAGAGGTAAGGAGTGCTGGAGAATTTACTGGCGTGAGCTTTACAATAATCTGGCCCTGAATGACTGGATGGCTGGTTCTTTTGTAGCAGGGGAAGAGGTGTGAGTGATGAGCTGAGGAGTCAGAAGCAGGTGAAGTGGATGAAGCTGATTGTGGTAGTCAGGGAAACAGGGCTTGGCTGGGGCTTGATGATGAGACCAGGTGTGCTGCATGAAGGCTGAGGAGGGTGAAGGATTGGGAGTCATGACAGTTTTGGCAAATTTACACTGGCTTCCAGTTCGGTTTCGTATTAAGTTCAAAATTCTCCTGTTGGTTTACAAATCCATTCATGAAATGGCCCCCTCTTATTTGGCACATCTTTAGAGTCACTATGTTCCGGCGCGAACCCAGAGGTCCTCTGACCAACACCTTCTGCTTGTCCCTCTTGCCCGCTATACGGCCCGTGGCAAATGGGCTTTTTCAGTTTTTGCGCCTAAACTTTGGAACCAACTCCCCCTGACGGTCCGACTTGCCCCCTCCCTTCCCAATTTTAAAGTGCGTTTGAAGAAATATTTCTATTCCCTGACCTTCCCGGCTGAGACTGTTAAACCCTTGTGCTTTCCTGTTTTTTATTTGTTTTCTTGTTATTATAGTTTTTATTAGTTTTATCTGTTTTATGTTGCTGTATCTAGTTTGGTGATGTATTGTCTTGTACAGCACTTTGGTTGGCGTTGTCGCCGTTTAAATGTGCTTTATAAATAAAGGTTGATGATGATGATGATGATGATGATGATGTGGTAGAAATGTATTAATTTAATTTTTATATTTAATTGTATTCATCTATTAACTATCCAAAACAGTCTATGGTTTATGCAAAATGTTGGCATTAAAACAGAAATTGCAAATTTTGACAACTGATATTTAGCAATTTTCAAAACTTTTTGTTACAATTGTTCTTGTGTTAATTTCTCATTTCTCTTCAAATAACCCTTTAGTGAATGTGACTCTCTTTATTGTTTAAGTCCTTTAAGTGCTGTACAATTATTTAAAATGCTGATCTTGGACAAGATAATGAAAACAAAGAAATAAAGAAAACATATTTTATATAGCAACTCTCAAGATAAAAAATCACAAGACGCTTCACAAGAACAAAACAATTTAAATATAAATAAATACTTTTTTATGATTTAAAAAATATGGTGAAATGAGAAATAAAATTGAGATTAAAAAAGTAAGTAAAGGGAAAGAGAAAATGAATAGGAAAGAGTGGATCCTGGTAAAGATGGAATTGGTAGAAAAAGCATAATAAGGAGAGGGTGGTGATGAAGATCACAGAAACCTAATGCAGGGACTTTAGCTGATGACTGTTAGCTTTTGACCTGGTGGCTCCAAAGAAAATGCGTGAGGATCCCCAAAGTTTAGAGGCGTTTCCATCTTCAAAGCAGGAGCATCTTTGCCAAAATCTCATGCAGTCAATCCAGTCGGGTGTGTCGTTCTAAGATTGAACCGTATCTTTAATATGACTCATGGGGAAATTCGTGCAATTTGATGTAGACCAATAAGGTATTTATTTGGATTACTCAAAGTGGGCAGTAAAGTAAATCATGTTGGTTGAAGCCAAAGTCACAAAATTGCTTGAATTTGGAAAATCAATAGTTGTGTAATGAAGTCAATAGAGGGTAAATTGGATTAAATAAATTGCTTAAGAGCTATTTATTTTTATTGTCATTACTTGTGACCCATAATCTATTAATTATAGAATATCACCTACTTGGTCTTTAAGAGGATTAGGCAGAAGATTCTAAGACTCTTTGTTTATTCAGAGATTGTCATCACTTCGTTTAGGATTCAAGGACCAGTCAGGTTTGCAAACAAATAATAATTTATTTTACAAACAATTTAAGACTTGACAAATGGTTTAAACTATTTACTGTGAGTGGATGTGAACTAAGAGATGGGTGTCTGGAACTAGGTGTGAATAAAGTATTTCAGAGTCGGTATCATGAGAAAGCTGAATCCTGAATGGAGGAAATTTGGTTTGCAAGTAAGCTACAAGCTGTTGTTTATCAAACTGCATACAGATGCTATCTCGCTGTGTTCTATGTACCCAAGTGGAGGCGCCCTTGTGGATCCGAAATGTCAGGGGGGTTGGAGACCCCGAGTACAGAAGTCCGTAGACTAACTCCTAGTATGACCAGGTCGGTCCAGGATCGCTTCCAGGTAACACAGGTGGACTGGATGGAACCAAGCGTCTCAAAACAACTCTGAAGGAGTGTCGCAAAATCAGCTTTGTTCCGCAGGGAAAATATCTTGTTGTCCTCAGCTTTGCGGGTGCAAAAGTTTAAGGTTTTGACTATGTCAAAATCCTTCTGGTGAAAGAGGCTTGCTCAGACGGCCATTCTGAGCGTCTCTCTCTCTGTCTGTCTGACTTACTGAGACTGAGAGTGAAGCTCTGTTTAAGGCCTGGTGTTATCTCAGAAGTTGCCAAGCATCTCAGAACACAGTCTCCGATTCTGAACTCTGAAATGTGGGACAAGGTTACTTATGTGTCATGTCTTTATCTTAGCCTTACTCTGTCTGCAATTGTGAAGACCTAATCCAGTAAACATACTTAGTATCATTGAAACAGATTAATGAAACATTTCATCATTTATAATTATACATGGCAATATTTAGTGATTATTAATTATAAAATCTCAGTTATAAGATCTTCTTTTCTTCAATGATAATTTTAATTATAAAATGATTACTTTTATTTATGAAATCTTCTTTTCTTCTGGGAATAAAAGTTTATCTAACAGAGTTCTCTTGTGGAGGATCCTGGAAAAGAATGCTACTGTCATCTTTCATTATCTGATGAAGCTTCAGTTCAGCTGATGAAGTCATCTTATTAAAGAGCCTGCTTGCAGACATTCCATCTCCTGTCAGGGTAAAATATAGCAGAACATGTGTAGCCAGGGTTATTTGCTCTGGCCGTGCATATGAACTGTGGGATCTCAAAATCAGTCCATTTGGTGATGTTACAGTTGTAATTATGTCAGAATTACTCTGGTGACACATTTCCACGATAGCCCTCACTGCCGTTCCAAAGCTATGATCTAAAACTCTGACAAAGTAGGATTTGCATCTTTAGGCCTTGGGGGATGACCTCCATTTCTCTGCATCAGCTCCACTGACAAGCATGATGTAGGTGAAAAATGTAGCCTTTGGTTGTACAAAAAGGGAGTGTTCCACTCGGGATAATGGGGTGTGAATTCCCTCAAGCCCTTTCAAAACTTCACTTGTCAAACTTATGTGACATCTTTAGGCTTTTGTCCTGAAAAAAGCCCTTAAATGGTCTTTCACTCATCCCCCAGAGTCATAGGTGAGAGCCCAAACCTTTACAGAAAACAGAATGGTTAGGTTGGGTTGAGGTGCAACACTTTGTCACCATGCAGCTCACTTAGCTCGGTTTTTACAACACAAAGGAGAAAACAAAGTGAAGGAGGTGGGGAAAAAAACTGCTGGGCTGGCAGACAAGGGTATGTCACAGTTTCTGAATGGACATCCCCAAGTCACACACAGTCGTCCTTCCACCATCAACACATGCTCCTTCCTCGTGGTTCAGCTGGGGTGCAAGGTGTCGCTTTGATTTAACTGAACAGCTCGACACCAATCAGGACTGGCTGCAGCATTGATTGCTTCAGAGTCAAGATCAAGACCCAAACTACACCTGGCTGCAGGAAAACTCCTCACCTCTCTACAAAAGTAGGTATGAAAGATTTTATTTATGTATTTATTCTGAAGAACTGAAGAAATGTGGAATGAATGGTTTTGACAGGTGTGCAGTTAACATTTTACTACAAGCACTTGAAAAGAAAGATCACCTTTCATGTAGTTTTTAGGTTCCTACTTCTGTAAAGTGGCTCACATAATATCAGGTGTAAATTTTAAAATTTGGTGGATGTTCTGCATGCAAACACCTTTTTTGCAATATTTTAACCACCAGTTTAAAGCAGGCTTGAATTTTAAAACAGGATTCTAATGAAGCTGAAAACGCTTTATCTTTAACTTTAATGCCAAGCTTGTTCCTTTTTATTGCCATATCTTATTTAGCTATTTTTGCATAGCAATTGTCCATAAGCAGAATATTTACTCAGAGTTTTGGACACAGTGAGCAATGCTAACTAAAATGAGTCATGGATTTCAGTCATCTAAATGTTTACATAGCATAAAAAAGTAATAATTAAAATATCTGGCTCAGTATAAAAGACTCTGGCAGGAAATTAGCACTCAGCTTCCTTTGCATGTGTTTCTTTTTGGTCTGTCAGACAGACTGAGTCCAATATTTGTTTTTAGTAAAGATGCATTTCATCTTACTGACATCTGTAGCACTGAATCAGCAATTTGATGGTTATTCTTCTTCTTTTAGGTGCATGCGGATACTCTTATTCTACAATGTGTGACATTTAATCTAAAAGAAATATCACATATGCATTAGCAGCTAATGTGTATGTCTGATGAGTCTTAGTTTCTGGCGTAGCTGATTGGTGTTAGTAGTTAGGAATCTAAACAAAACATGTTCAGATGATTGAGGCCACACAATTGCAGAAAACTAATTAATCTCAGACAAAATGTTTTTATTTTTCTTTAATTGGTCCTAAAAACATAAAATTTTAAATTTTACAACATAAATTAAAACCTTATTTGAACATTATCACATAGAAACTTGGTGTTTCAAACATCAGAAGCTGTACTCAAAAGTAAGATTTTTTTTCTGTTTAGAGTTAAGTCCAACGAAAATCAACTTAAAACCTCCTAAAATTGGAATTATGTGGTTTCTCAATTCAAAAGGTTGTGGTAGCTGCAATAAAAAGATGTCCTTTTTGTTTGCATCAAACTAAATCTGTCACACAGCAAACTGTGAATATGATGGAACTGGTTTTGAATGCATAAAATGCAAAGAAATACATTGTTATTGGCTTGGATTGCTAAAAGTGGTTCAACAATAGACTATTCCCAGTGGTTTTCCTGCTGTAACTACCTTACAATGGGTATGATGTCATTCCCAGATTAAAATCTGGCTTCTTAGGTAAATGAACCGTTGTTTTTGTTGTTCTTGATTCACCTGATTTGTGTAAATCTAATGTTTGGATGTTTAAATCATTATTCAGTCTTCTGTCCTTGTCTAGAAGAATTACTGTAGGAAAACAGTGAAGGAGCTCTAGCGGGCTTCAATCCCTGATCACGGATAAGTGCTGTGTCTATCCTCACAAGTCAGCAGAGATTATCCCATTCCATTCAAGCCTTTGTCGTCATCACTAGAAATTAGCGCAGTCCCATGCTCGCCGTCTGAAAGGTCACTAATCCGGATGTTAGCTAGCTCCTGCAGCAACATTTGCGTCTGCAACCTGGAGTATAATCGCCTAATTTTCGTCTGACCTCACTTCATTACTGATATTAGAAGAAAATACACGTGTACTTCATCTTTCTTGGATAGTGGCTATGAACAACGTAGCATCAAACATTTTAATCTAAAATGCTAATCAAAAACAAACGAGGTACAGAGTTGTCAGTAGGGCTTTGCTGGTGTTATACTGCATTGTGTGCAGATTTTCTTTTGCATACAATTGTTGATCAAACTCTTTCTTATACTCAGAATTGCATTAAATAGTCTAACTATTTAAAATGAGTTGAACTGTGGTGGAGGAATTACCTAGCATAACCCTCTTGCATAAATCATGTAATCAAGGACTTACGGCTCTGGCTAACATGGACTCAAGTTGGATAAAATTCAAATGACATTATCTATGTTGGTGTGTTTGTATTTGGACACTTTGTGTTCCCCGCTAACTGTAAGCGGTTGCAAAGTAATTGATCCTAAATACTCTGTTGACAGTGGAGACACACAATTAGCACAAAGGTTAGCAGAGGGCATTGGGATTTGTTCGCTGAGATCAATGGTGCCATCAGAGGGAGTAAGGGTAGTGCGCATGTAGAAATCAGCCATCTAAGACCAGCTACATCTGCGTAAAGTGTGCCATGTCTCAAGTGCTCAAAATAGTTAGCACCCCGCACACCATTCTAAGATCGTGATCTTTCATGACTGGGCCCTCTGATTGGTTGAGAGAAGCTTTGGTGTCATCCTAAGTGACAGGTTGGCACATGCTGAAACGGCCAGTGGTACAAATACAGGGATGTGAGACGCAGATCCTTGTCACTCAGGACCAATCTTGATAACTTGCAAAGGAAAGACGCTTTAAAGAGTACCTTTTAGAGCTGAAGGTAAGAAAACCCTTAGTCATGCTTTTGTGCAAGCTTGTCTGTGAGGATGCTTTGGTCTCTCTCAAAAACCCTCTAACGGTTTCATCTGAATGCACTTTGTTGAATTACAATTCCACCTTGTCACTGTGTCTTGTGTACTAAAACTATATCTGCTTCAGCCTCTGTAACCAGAGATGATTCAGCTTTTTAATAGCAGTGCGCCCATCCGTGGAAAAGCTACTCAAAATGAGTTCCAGACGAACATGGAGCACGTGGAATTTAAACAAAACCCAGATGGGAGCTGAGACAAATCAACTGGAAGCTTAAGATACTGATCAAAAGAAGATGGCAGAGCTTACTCTGGATTTTGTTCTCTTTCTCTCTTGGTTTTAAACTTCTTTGACACATCATTTCATGTGCAGTCGTTATTTTAGTCAATTTTCCGAATCTGGATCCCTGTGAATCGTAATTTACTTCATGCAAAACTTAAAAATCTTTTCAAACAAAAACTAAGCATGCAGCCTCGTCTTATGTGTTGCCTTCTAAAGTGTCTGCATTTTGAAACTGGGTGTGCAAGGGCAGTCCTAATGCACTTAAAGTTGGCCTGACTTCACATCCGGTCTCTCGTGTGTCTGATGAGCAACGTGACGACAAGAAAAGACCTCAGTCTGGACCCTGACCTTGGAAACGACTCATAATATTGTTAACATTAATAAAGGTTCATTTTAGAAATTGGGTGCTTTCATTAACACCTAAGTGGTTCCATTTTATTTGTTTACATGCCACATTGTTTGTACACTGTAATTCGATGTGTGTTACACAACAAGAAAAGCCTCTATTAGAGTCCTGATAATTAGAAATCACACAACAGGAGCCGGAACTTCTTAAATGACTTAACGGTGGATAATTTTTTAATTTCATGACTGTTTTTGACCACAGTAAGGTTCTTCTCTCGTTTCTACCACAGGTTGAGCAGGAAAATGGCACTCGCACAAAAGCTTCTCCTTGTTTTGTGTCTGGTGGGTCTCGTCCTCAGCCAGGACGTGCCTTATGAGGAACTCCTGGCCCAGATCCAAGCCTGCCCTAAGGAGTGCACCTGCCCCCAAAACTTCCCCCGTGCGGTCTACTGTGACAATAAGGGCCTGACGAGCATCCCCAGGATCCCTCCCTTCACGAGGTACCTCTATCTGCAGAACAATATGATTGAATCCCTGCCTGCAAATGTGCTGGAGAATGCAACGCAGCTACACTGGGTGAACCTGAGTGGAAACAAAATCAAGAACGAAGGGATTGGAGAAGGCGTTCTGGGTGCGTTGACACGGCTGGTACACCTGTACATGGACGACAACCTCCTGTCTTCTGTGCCATCTCCACTCCCGGCCAGCCTCGAGCATCTACGTCTCTCCCGCAATCGCATCTCCAAGATTCCCACCGGGGTATTTGCTGGTCTGGATAAGCTAAATCTCCTGGACCTCCAGGGGAACAAGCTGATGGATGATTCTGTGACTGAGGTGAGCCTAAAGGGTCTCAACAACCTGGTGCAGATTAATCTAGCCAAGAACCAGCTGAGTCGCATGCCCCTCGGACTGCCACCCACCACCACCCAGCTCTTCCTTGACGGCAACAACATTGAGAAGATCCCAGCTGACTACTTCAAGGGTTTGCCCAAAGTGGCATTCCTGAGGCTCAACCACAACAAGCTTGGCAGCAGTGGAGTTCCCAATGATGTTTTCAACATTTCCAGCATTCTGGACCTGCAGCTGTCTCACAATCAGCTGACTGAGGTTCCCATCATCCCCTCAGGCCTTGAACACCTCCACCTGGACCACAACAAAATCACAAGTGAGTATGGTTTTGTGCAGATGCATGAAGGAATTAAATTGTAGTTAATAAAGTTGTTGTTGATCAGAGGTCCTTCTCGCAGGTGTGAATGGTGCCAACATCTGTCCCGTCTCGGCCGACTCTCTGGGCGACTCCGTGAATGAAAGCTCACCTCGTCTGCGTTACCTCCGACTGGACGGGAACGGTATCAACCCACCGATTCCCAGAGATGTCCTCGTGTGCTTCGGTCTCCTTAGATCTATTGTCATCTAAGCACAAAAAAATCAGCAACATTTAAAATTCTTTTTTCTTACAATTATCAATCTGACCTGGACAGCGATTTGGAGGAAACCAAAAAAGCCGCACATTTTTGCATGTTTTTGAAGATGGATGGATAGCATCCACTCATTTCTTCCTTTCATCATTAAACAAGTTTTTTTTTGTCAAATTTGAGTGAAATCTACTTTTATAAGTCAGAACTTTAATTCTGACAATTTTCTGTCATATAGTTGTGCCTTATGTTGCTATGAACACCTTCCTGTAGAGTTCTGAACCAAAAGGAGTTACACTTTAGGATGTGAATACATTAGGAATGTTTATTATAATGACTGAATTGATTTTGCTCTTTTGAACTTTTGCAATTTGTCTTTGACTACTTCGCATTTGTAGGCTTGAAGCCAAACAAACGATTCTTGTGTGCTAGATTTCTCGTTGTTTTTGATTCTTCTTTACTTTTTAAAACAGAATTTCCTCAGAGAAAAACACGTACTGTAGGTAATTTGTTTTTATTTAACGTGGTGGAAATTACGCAGAAACTATCCTTGGCCAGCATTCCTTAATATTTTATACACAGAAAATGATTAACACTTGCCAACACACTTTTTAATTATGATAAGTGTTTTTGTCTGAATTAAATGAGCAGGAGATTCAGAGTTAAACTGTCTGTAATGAGAATAAAACCTCTGAATGAAAATGTACTTGTTTGTTTTTGTTGTTGTTTTTTTACAGTACATTTATGAAGAGAAGTTACTTTTCTCGACTCAGTTTCTAGGTCTGAGGCGGCCTAAATTATTCTTTGTCTAAATATATCAGATTATGAAGTGTAGGTTGCTCCAGGGGCGGATTTAGGACTGAAGAAGATCCGGGGCTTAACACACACACACGCGCACGCATGCACACACACACACACACATGCATGGCACGCACTGGTCAACATCATATATGTCTTGTACCACATAATTTTTAATCTGAAGCTACACATTAAGCATTTTCAGGGCAGAGTATTGTTCCTGTTAGTGTGAGACGATAGTAAATATTCCCTTTCTTTCTCCAACAACTTTACCTGATAGTAAGCTAACTTTATGCAAACCAGCAGCACAACAAATATTTTCAAATAAGACTCACAAACCTGAGTCAGCACCAGTCTCATCAAAGCTGGGGTTCTGTCGTTGTACTTTTTGTCTAAAAAACATCCTTATGTCCATCTTCACACATGCGTTTCAGGCAGAGTGTAGAAGAAACCAGCTGCTGAAGGGCTTCTTCTTCAGTGGTGGAGGCTCAGGCAGGCTGTATACAAACTACAGCCAGCTGCTCCCTCTCTGTTGGACTTTGGTACTGCATCTTACTTCCGCGATTTAGATCCGGGGCTTTCCATGAAACATCTGGGGCTTCAGCCCAAGTAGCCGGGCCTAACGCCGCCCCTGGGTTGCTCCTTTGTTTAGTTCAGCTTTTACAGAAAGGAAAACACATATACAAAATCATGTGGCATAAAATTACTTTAACTTTCACACCTAAATAAATTTTATGGTTATAATTTCAGTTTTAATTTTTTTAATAACAGAATTTAATAATATTACCCTTTTTTACAGTATAAAATGTTTTTATATTGTGTTTTCAGTTTATTATTTTTATTTATCTTATTTCTTAATATAATACTTCTATAAAACCTTAAATTATTGGAGACTTAGGACCATAGATCCCATTTTTTTAGCCGTTATGGTTACTTCCCTTCAAAATAAGAAACTCAGGTGTTCTCAATTCATAACGTTAGCTCAAGAGGTTGTCCAGTAAAAGGTTGTAGGTTCAAATTCAAATTCAATTCAAATTCAAAAATACTTTATTAATCCCAGAGGGAAATTGATTGTAACCAGAGATTTACGTTAAATCTCAGCTCCCACCAGAGAACGCTGCTGTTGTGTCCTTGGCCAAGACACCGAACCCACATTGCCTGCTGGTGGTGGTTGGAAAGACTGGTGGTTCCAGTATTCGGCAAGTCTCACCTCTGTCAGTGCGCCCCAGGGCAGTTGTGGCTACAATATAGCTCATTATCACCAGGGTGTGAATGTATGTAGATTGATGTCAAGTTGTTGTTGTTATTGTTGTTGTTAGCCTCAAGGGCAACATGCCGATTATCACTTGTAAGTCACTTTGGACAAAAGCGTCTCCTAAATACATAAACTTAAACATGTGTGTGCATGTGTCGATGACTGATTGTGTTGTAAAGTGCCTTGGGGGGTTGAAGAACCCTGGAAGGCGCTATACAAATACAGGCCATTTACAACATTAACAGTCTTTGTTGTGATTTCTGGTACGGCTCCAAAACCAAACTTTGATTCTAGTTATGTAAAAGTTTATATACTGTATAAACATCTTCTGATAAAAGCCAACTGGATCATTTCCCATGCCGGTAGTAGTGTTTAACCTCATCGTGGTCAGGAAGACTCTTCTAGTTTGTCCTCAGAGGAAAATCAAGGGATGAAATTAGATTGTATCTCAAAAGCTGTACTTCATTTCAAACGTATCAGCAAATAAAATACATTAAAATGATCATAAATGACGCAGGTTGATCTCGGTAAATATAAAATATAAATCTCTGAGCTGATGCTAGCTGGATGAATTACTGATGAGCTGTAAATGGATTGAGTTGAAACATTACACTCTGAGGATATTTTGGAAACTTGTGATGTGTTTGTTGTTGCTCCATCATTTTCCTCTGTCTAAAAGATTAACTGGGACGCTGTATCCCGGTGTCACACAAGAATAGAAGGATGAGCTTCAGAAGGTGCCAGCCGTCAAATGGGATTAGAAGAAGAAACCAAACAATGAAAAAATTAAGAGATAAAACAACAAACATGTCAAATTAACAGATAAGAATTATAAAAAATAAGCTACTGGAAGGTAACATCATCTCTGAATGACAGTTTGTTAAAAAATAAATTATTACATTAACTCTCTAGGAAATTATTATTTTAACTTCTTTGTCAGTTTAAATCTGCATTGTTTTGACTAGAAGATAATCAGAGAAAAGGCATCTAAATTACTCATCAAAATGTCAATTTAAAATGTTTTATATTTGAGCATCAAGGAAGAAAATAAATTTTGCAAGAATAAGGGTTCAACTCAAAATTCAGCATATTCTTGCAGCAAGAAAGCATAAAGAAAGTGCAATGTACGCTAGTGCATGGGCATGCAAAGAAAATGCATGTTAAGGTAGTGCAAGTAAAGGATGTGCATGTTAAGGAAGTACATGTTAAATATGTGCATGTTAAGGTAGTGCAAGTAAAGGATGTGCATGTTAAGGAAGTACATGTTAAATATGTGCATGTTAAGGTAGTGCAAGTAAAGGATGTGCATGTTAAGGAAGTACATGTTAAATATGTGCATGTTAAGGTAGTGCAAGTAAAGGATGTGCATGTTAAGGAAGTACATGTTAAATATGTGCATGTTAAGGTAGTGCAAGTAAAGGATGTGCATGTTAAGGAAGTACATGTTAAATATGTGCATGTTAAGGTAGTGCAAGTAAAGGATGTGCATGTTAAGGAAGTACATGTTAAATATGTGCATGTTAAGGTAGTGCAAGTAAAGGATGTGCATGTTAAGGAAGTACATGTTAAATATGTGCATGTTAAGGTAGTGCAAGTAAAGGATGTGCATGTTAAGGAAGTACATGTTAAATATGTGCATGTTAAGGTAGTGCAAGTAAAGGATGTGCATGATAAGGAAGTGCATGTTAAATATGTGCATGTTAAGGTAGTGCAAGTAAAGGATGTGCATGATAAGGAAGTGCATGTTAAATATGTGCATGATAAGGTACTGCAAGTAAATGTAGGGTTATCTACATACTAGAATCAACACTGTTGCTATTCAGTTGTTAGATTCTGAGAGAAGATCCAAACGAGTTAACAGTGAAGCTTCTATTATATATAAATATCTAGGATATTACATATAGAGATACAAGCTCATATGCCAACAAGCTTGGTCTAATTTTAATCCAAAGATTGTTTAATTTAAGATAATTAAATTTAATAGCAAAAGTTTATTTTTGAATCAGAAGTTAGGAATCTTTGCTTTTTCAATAACCAGAAATATTTATCCCTTTCTGTGTTCCATTTCAAAGAATGAGGCAAGGTTTAAAAATGAAGAATTTATTACTAACAATTTTAAACTTGACGATTTGAAACGACAATTTAAATGACAATCAAAAATGACAATTCATGAACGACAATTTACCAGCTTTGATATTAAAAACTTGTTTTAAAGGCAAACCTGTGACTGAATAAAAGCTAAATTGAAAATACAAGTTTGGATGCGTGGATGGATTCTCAGAAGGTTTCTTTCAGAGAAAGAGGCGCGTTCTGGGTTGGAAATGATGGTTTTGCAGCCAACTGTTGTTACTTAGTGAAAACAGCATCAGACACAATCTGTGTGCTACCTCACCCAACAAGACGACCCTTCGTGAGGTTCCGGGGGTCAAGGGAGGATGGTGTCAGACCTCCAGGTACTCGGTCCAGTAGAGGAGACTCGAGGAACCGACTCTCTGGTCCGAAGATGTTGCTGGGTACACAGTGTCGAGCATCTGGCTTAACTCTGAAGGAGTTTCTTGTCCTAACTCTCAAATCAATAACTCTGAAAGAGTTTTGCGTCAGCTGGTTACAGTTACGTTTATTCGTAGCTATTCTCATCGGCGTGACAGAACAGCTGGTGGAGGTTACGGGACGGCCGTTCCCGAATTCTCAGTGATGGTGGTGGTTCACGAACTGAAGTGAAAGCTGCTGGAAGTTAGTTTTACAAAGTCCTCAGAACACGCCCTCTCAGAGCAAGAAAGCTTTGGTCATGAGTCAAAAAAACATGTGAGGTGGAGATTAACCTTTACTCTGGATCAGTTCTGAATGAGCTGGTTACGGTTGAGATGACCTTCTGGTTTTCTGAACACACATTATCAACCATAATCATAGTAATCATTATTATACCCAAAGCATAATAATTCATTTCAGTAATTAAAAATACATTTATACTGAACCAAGTGATTATTTATGATGATTATAATAAACCTCAATAAAGACTTTAAAGAGTTTATTAAATTATTACTTAAATTATTATCGTGAACTTGAAGTGTCCTTCGTCTGGGACGGAACAGCGCAGATAAAGGATGATATTCTTCAGACATCAGGGCTCCTGGGTTAATCTGTGGACCTAAAAGTTACAGTCTGACCCAGCTTGACCTAGCTGGGAAAGTGTCACCTTTGTCACAAATTAGAGGACCTTCATGACGCTACATAAAGGATGTGCATGTTAAGGAAGTACATGTTAAATATGTGCATGTTAAGGAAGTACATGTTAAATATGTGCATGTTAAGGAAGTACATGTTAAATATGTGCATGTTAAGGAAGTACATGTTAAATATGTGCATGATAAGGTATTGCATGTTCATTTCAGTTCATTTTTATTTCAAACATTTCACACATATATCATTACAAAATATCATTCCATTATTTGTTTGAAAGGGAGTAGGCAGAAGTATTTACTTATTTGTCCCTACCCCCAATTTGTACCTCTTGTTCATTAAATTTTCTTTCAGTCTTAAATTAAACAAAAACATATGAGAAATATACATATATATGTATATATATAACAAAAAACAAAACACCATATGAAAAACAGAGAATGTGTAAAATTGCAGATTCACCATCTTAGGTG